GGATTAAAAAATGAGTTATAAAATCAGCAGTATGAAGAGAAATTATTACCTATCTCTCTAAATTCGCTCTAAGATTAAAAAAATGCATTTAATAATTCCATGGATATTCTTAATTGAATTCTTTACGAATATTAGATTTATTATGGAAATCAGATATTTGAAAAAAATGAGATTAGCCGATAGTTTTGTTTTTGATGAGCTTTATAAGCTTTAATATTTAAGCCATGGATTTGCTGAAAAAAACAACGGATAAAGCAAACGAATAAAAATGAAAATTAGTAAAATGGCCGAAATGATTCCTCTCGAATTTATTTATTTATTCAAATAACAGTTGTTTTAATGTTTGAAATTTTAAAGCTTCATTTTTGCATTTGATGTTTTCGGTTAAAATTTCTAACATTTTAATTAGCTAATCAATAATTCGAATAAATGATAAATTTTCATTATCACAGCTTGATTTCCAATAATTTTTTTAATATTTTTTCTACACCACTCACCATTCCTGGTTTGGTTGGTTTAACCGAAACAAACCTCGTTCGCCACTTGAAAATAGATCTAAGTTCGTACTACCACCAATAGCGACTTTTAAACTTTTCAGAGAAAACAGACCGAATCATAATTGTTGAACTGGTAGTTCGAGCAATAAACCAATCGAATATATTCCACGTTTAATTTTCGATTATTTAAAACTTTTGAAACTTAAAATTTAATCGAATATTTGCTGAAAATTCTAATTTTTATAATTTTTCATTGAAGAAAGAAAAATTAAAATTATATCAAAGCATAAATATATGCGCAAATATATGCGTATTCTACTCATCTTTTTCCCCTAATTATTTATAAAATATTTTAATTAATAAGATTCCTTATGTATAAGTTTTTAGCAATTACACTGGTTTCAAATAGGTATATTCGTATTTTTCTAATTACAGTAAGAATGACAACAGAAAATAATTCATCAACATATTTTCGATTCAAATAATTCCAGGTAGTGGTTGCGACTCACCTCTGTTTCTAATCTCAAATGGCTCTTGCGAAGTGATTATATCCTTAATAGGTAATGGAGCCATACAAACCAGAAAAGGTATTAGAAGAGGATGGAGAATTCAAACAGTTAGCTGCTCTTTCAAGCTACGTTTTTTCTTCAAAATTTTCAGGCTAATATCTTATATTTATGTATAATATCAATTGAAATAAATTAAGAAATATCTTTTTTAAATAACAATGAACGAAATCTAAGAACTAAATCTAAGAACCAAGAATAATCGGCAAGCCAAATGTATCCATTAGCATAAATTCTTGAAATGGCAAATCCCAAAAGATTCGCAAATTTATTCATTAATTTAATTCGATTTGACCGCCTAATACTGATCTCAACAAATTGAGACTTATTAATTCCCTAGTTTTTCCAGAAATAACTCGCCAATTATTTTTCTCAGTGTTGCATGATGAGAATAACGATTTGCACAAATATAGACCACGATCCCACCATAACCACTAATGTTCATTCTGACTAATAGTGGTTCACCATTTCTGGTAAGGTCATTGCGTTGGCTGTTAGTAGCGCAGAAAATTTCTGCCGTTCGTAGTTGAATCGCCAACATCACCATGACTTTTTTATGATAGGCTTACTCGGAATGCAATGGCTTCAGATACCATCTATTCCGCTATTCTTTAACTTAACTTTAATAAAAAATCAATATTTAATAAAATACTTAAAATAAAATAACGAAAATTCTAACAAAATAAACCTTCCTGATAATTTTGATAGATTAATTAATTTTGGAAATTTAAAAATTAAGATTCGAAATTTTCAAATTAAGTTTTAAATATCAAAGAAAACAAAGAAAAGAAATTAACGAGAAAATATTTATTTATTCATAGAAATTCAGTAAGTTTTTAAACAAAGCTGATTTTTATCATTTTTTTAAAGACTAATAAATTATTTATGAGCGTTAAATTGAAAAATTTAGTAGTTGCGACAATTTCTTGGACTCTTTCAAGTTCGAACCAGAAAACTGTAATCCACTGGCTTTCAAATGCTGCAATATTGCCTTAAATCTCATTTAACTCGCAATTTATTGCTGTGAAACACAATATTTGATTATATCTGATTTTTTTCCTCATTTGATGATCAAATTTTTCCTAAATGCGTATTTTATTAACCTTAATTTAAGCGATAGCAATGGTACGCCGACCAAATTCCACCTATTTTTAAAGAATATTGAAATATTTGCTGTATTTCTAATAATTATATATACGTTTCTCGGAAGATCCAATATTTTTTTTTGTTTCATCTCACTACATTCAGCATTTCCGGTTTGGCTGACTCCACTCACTACTGCAACTCGTTTGCCAAGGAATCACTTGGAGGTTGAAGTAGAGGAGAATCTATTTTTATCAAAGGAATCGAACCTATGGTCACTTGAAGGTAACAGCTTGCCGCCTTGTCGTTAGAAGCTATAAACGATTTATAAAAATGATTTCAAAATGGATTTGAAAAATTATATAAAAATAAAGATGCTGAAAATTTTGATGGAATGAATATTCAAACATTTTACATGAATAATGAAACGGCTTTGATGAGTTCCGATGAGTTCCAATCGTTCCAATCTTTGGTCACCTAATCGGCAAAAATTATATCGAAATCCAGAAACGCACCGTTATACACTTGTTTGCAGATTTGAGAAAGCCTAGCGTAGTTAAGATAATTACATCAACCAAAACCTTAATTCGATCAAATTCGATAAATAACTGTGTTTGCCATAATGACTATTTAATTTATCTGCCAAATATATTCTTCCTTCTGATTTTACGATTGGTTTTTAACCATTTCCGATTTGATTGCTTTCACTCACTCAGTGGATAGTGAATTAGATTATATTGAGAAACAAAGGTTTGGCTTCCACACCACAGGGGTACACCTGTCATTAAAAATACCGGTAGTGTTGGTGTCCACCCGTATCTGTTCACTCCTATCACCAAATAACTCTCTGGCAATTCCTAACAACATTAATAGCCAGCAGAACTAGTTTAGCCAGAAATGGTCAGTGCTAATCGGTGCTAACCACTAATTAACTTATTTATTAAATGAAAAATATTGGTAACATAATGAATTAATATATTATAAGATAATATAATAATAATATATTAATATATTATTGTGTATATTAATACAAACATTGATTAAACGACATGGTGCTAAAAGTTTCACGCACATTTCATTACTGATTAGATCTTTTTTAGTTTAGTGATCTACGATCTTTCACAGTTACTTTAAAGTACCAAAAAGAAAAAAATAGAGTAAAATCCGTTAAAATCACTTCCTCTATAAAATTTTAATTGATTTTTAGTTGGAAAAAGTCAAAAAAATTTCATTACTCGAAATAAAAAGGTGAAAAGCTATATTTCCAATCTGTTCCCTCACCCTCTCCTCCCTCGCTCCAGGCAGACAAAGCGGCGAACCAATTCACTGCTTATTTATCACATATAAATGCCAATTCCTCGTCATAACAATTTTTTAATGTTTCTTGCGCAATACTTGCGTCGAAAAAACTTTTCCGCTTAGAAATAATTCTGGAACATATTTAATATTTAGGAGAAATCAACTAAACCATGTTCGTTGCAAACTTTTCATTATAACTAAAAATTTGAAAAAAAATTTAAACTTTATTCTAATTTTATAGAGCACCAATTGATGGAATTATTAAACATTAACAATATTATTATTATTCGAATATTAATACATGAAATGTCTAAAAGGAATAGCAAAATTCAAATGATAAAATAGGTTCTTAAAAATATGAATATATTAGAAAATGAATATATATAATATATTAGAAAAAATAAAAAGCAAATTAAAGCGTAAAATAGGAGAATCAATGAAATTTAGTCAAAGATAAAAAATTTGAAAAAATTCATAAATAAGCAGCAAAAAGGAAACTTCAATAAGCAATGAGTTCTCTCGTTTTCCATAATTTTCACATTAATTTCAATTTTTCCTTTTATTTATTTTCTGAATTACAAAAGAGGTGTAACGAGAACTCAATCTGCAAATACTGAGAATCCTTAAAGTGAATTCAACCAAAACCAGTTTCATCACAGTAGTTCAACAAATATGCGAAAATACATAGAAACATGATTTTCAAAATATACAAATGTTTAAATGTAATATATGCAAAGTAATAAGCCATTAATTGATTACAGGACTACAGAGAAATTAAAAAAAAGAAATGAATAAAACAGACTTGCAGAAGCGCTTTCACCCTTAAATAAGAGATGATGGACAGAAATTTGGAAGCCGAAATAACGCTTGAAAATCTGCTCAATCGAAACAAATACATAAAATCAGACGAATGCAAAAGTGTCTTTCACATAACAATGCAACTGTTGCAAAAATCAAATAAAGTGAATAAAGTGAATAAAATGAAGACTTTAGTTCGAACGACGCTAAATAACCAAAACATTCAATCAAATAGGCAATAAATATTTAAGGCCGTAATGATAAGTGTTAAACAGTTTAAACTCAAAATCAATTTAAACTGCTTTATATTTTAATATCGAAAATTGAAACCTTATCGAAAAATGAATGTTAGCGAGTAATAGCCCAATTCAAATATATCTAAAAAAAACACTGGAAAGATATATCAGAGAGAAATGGTCGGAAAACTAACTCCAAAGCCATTCACCTAGAATACCTACCACGCGATGTATTTGCACTGGCAATTGTAAAAATAGAATCAAAATATACCCGATTTAAATAATAAAGCAGACTTTCCATAGTAAAAGGCCGTTTATAAGGAAAATAAATACTATATCCCTCCAAAAGTAAAAGTAAAAAAAAAGCTCCTTTCAAGGCAATTAAAGAAAATAAGGAAAATAAAATGCGAAATCATAAAAAAATCAAGAAAATAATATGATTCGTAACAATCAGATTTTCAATGGAATGGAAAGAAACTCAATTTAGCCGGAATTGATTTTGTTTTTTCGTGAGAAGTCGACTATTTTTGAGTGGGCAAGGACGCCTTTGGTCCAAATTCTCTTTGACAAAGATAGCAACTCCATTCGCCTTCAGGAGCTTGCGAAAGTGGTGGTCGTAGGCAGTAAAGATGAAAGCCGCGATCACAATCATCGCAAAAAAGAAGTTGGTCCTAAAAATTTTTGAATCCATTCAAAACAAAGAAAGAAAACTTTCATTAATATTAAACAATGAAAAGCAATTCCGTTATCAAAACGAAACGAAATAAACATTAAACTGTCAAATTTCTTAAAAGCAAAAAACATTTTTACTGAGTGATCGTGCGCCCAAAAGTGATCGTTAGAATGACTTAAAAATCTCAGTTCCATGTCACTCAAAACATCTAGTCCAACCTCTAGTCTTCAATTCCTAAAATTACTACAGAACAGAAAAAATAAATGAAATTCACGTCGTTATCAGAAAAACCGCAGATTGCACAACTTTTACATTCAATACATTGCCAGCCATATCTTCTCGTTGATATGAGCATATTTTCTGTGAATTTAAGACAGGTCGGGTGGCCTGAAATTTTAAATTTTTCTAGTCAATTAACCAGAAATGACTGCTAAATGATGCAGCTATTATCTTTAATTCTTATCAAGAAAAACATTTCTGAATGACATTACTTAAATTTAAATTCCTTTTTTTTACAATCAGATTTAAAAAATTCTTTTATTTAAATTTTTCTAAATTCCTTTTTTTTACGTTTTCTCGAATCATATTCATTTCAATAACTCATTTTTTCCAAATCACATTGAAAAATAAGAAGCAAGAAAAGGGAAGAATCCAGCTCCTAATTTCTTTCAAGATATTTAATATTTTAAGTCAATTATTCTCATTATTAGCTAGATCATAAGTTTAATATTTACATGTATATATATAAATATATATTATTAGCGCAATTTCAGGAATGAAGGAACAATATATATATATATATATCTCTGGTAAGTTTGCTGTGATTAATAATAATATGCGCAAAAGGAACACCAGTCTGAATACGTATGGTACCATCGAGCCAATAAACTAATTTCAGGTCAAAACACTCGAAAACCTCAAATCACTAAAAAATTTTACTTTTCGCGTCTCATTTGACTTCTCTTCTCATAAAACGTAAAATCCTTGATTATCTTGATAAAATTCGAAGTTTAACCCATCAAACTGTGATAGAACTGATAAACATATAGGAAAAAAATCAAGATGATTTTCATTTAAAGAAAATATTCCGCACCAGATCGACCGCAATCATGACAGCTGACCAATTCTTCTGGTGTATTAGTTTTCTTATTTTCATTGCGATCACCAAGGCACAAGTCACATGTAGTCGAAATCTCGATAGTTGACGATAATACTGAAAGCAAAAAAGGGTGACCAGTTTCACTGCTGTTTATAATTTCAACCAGAGGAAAACCAATGTTCATTCTTAACGAATCTATATCTTAATGACGAATTTTTTCTTTCTTTTTATGAAAATTTGCCAAACTTTTAACTATTACATAGTGCTCTAGAATTGGGTGATGCCACAGGGCTTTCGAATATCTTTTTATCAAATATATTTTTAAAAAAATATGGTTCAAACTAATGATTTCGAATACGAATATATGTCAAATATCGAATGATTGTTCCTAAAAAGGTATTATTCCAAAAGAATAACCCAAATAATTTTCAAAATCAAAAATACTTTTCTCCTCAACAGGTCACCCCTTTTTGCAACTGAATTAAGTCTTTAGTGAAACTATCTGAAAATGACATACTCTCAATGTGATGTAATAGCAGCTCTTAAACCACAATTTTTTATCTTATTTAATCAATACAATTTCAATATCATATATTGAATACAATAATGAAGCGACAAGAATGAACTTGTTACCCTAATGAGAAACCCGTTAAGCGAAAGGGGCAGGGTGAACATACTATGAATTCGATACCCGTAATTATGACATCACCCATGCGCACTTGACAACTAAGCAAAAGAATTGACATGCATAATAAAATACTATTTTGTGAGGTTATTACAGTTTGAAAGTTGAGAAACGTCGCTAGAATTCGTCACGTCTGGGTGCACATGTGCTCGGTGATATGTCAAGCCAGGTCGGCTTCTGTACTTTGCACCACAATCTATAAATTATTTTAAATCAGTGGTGTATTCCTTACAGATATCGATGTAGAACTGTCACAAAATGACTGGCATGGTCAAGGTGCATTAATAATTATGCTAGAATTATGTTAAATCAAAAGCAAACATGATCTTAATTCATATGCATGAAATAAAAGTGCTACAATCTTTGTGGATTGAAAGAATTCGTTTGTCATTCTGAATAGAGCTCAGAAAATTTATTCGCCAGAAGTTCGAGTCATTTGGAATCGGAGAAATGTAAGCTTATATTACTTACTGTTACATGCAAATGCTTTGGGGTCAGATGAGATCGGTTGACAGACTATTGTGACATTACTCGTTGTTCCTCGACGTGAACCTCCCCTGCCCCCCGATGAAGCAACTGCACCACCACGTTTTTTCCGTTTCTTCCTCGGTTCTGACCAATCATCTTCATCCGACATATCAACAACTTCTTCCTCACTCGGTTCTTCAAGATCGTTCTCCAATAATTCCTTTAACTTGTTCTTTTCTAATTGCTTCTCTAATTTGAATCTTAAAAAAATACAGAGATGATGAAAACTTTGGTATGACTTTGGTATATTTCTTCATTTTCTTTAACTTTAACTTCAAGATAATTTCCACTTTAAACTAGTAAATTTCTTAAATGAATTTATTTTTTGTTGAAAATATCTAATAATGCGATTTACTCACCAGTGTTTGCCTTCCTCTTCTATCAACGCTCTGACAAAAATCTGAAGATGAAAACGCTTCGTTTGATCCAGATGCTTCTAAATATATGAAAAAATAATAAAATGGACATTTCACGTTAAAACAATCTTTAAAACTTTCTAAAACTTTTATACGATTAAAAAAAAATCATAGGAAACCTGTTGAGATAGCTGTTGCTTGATTTATAACTTCGCTAATTGCTGGATTGCACTGCACAATATACTTCATTTCTGTAGCGTCGGACGATGGTGCATTTTTTTTCCGTTTCCAACGTTTCCTCGAATATGTGCAATACTAAAATCGTATAAAATCATACTTCAAATTCAGCATAAAATCTCACTTTCCCCATTTGATGTTCCCTCATTTCTAATTTAACCAAGCATTCTCTCAAAAAAGTATGAAAATGAAAATTAAATGAAAATTTATGAAAGCTCGATCTCTTCAATTTTTAACGTTATGGTTAATAAAAAAATGGTTGATTATTTTAGACTGCGATTTTAAAACTGGGAAAAGACTTTCACCAACAATATCATAAAGCAAAATATAGATCATTCAAAAATTTTTGGCTTCCAGGCTTTAAGGCTACATATTTTTGCAGTTATACCATACTGACATTTCCATATCATTCTGCTCGTCATGATTTCTTATTTCCTTACATTGCGAAAATAATAGGTGATTTTTTTTGATGATCTTAGTATGATTTTCAAGCTATGGTACTTCATCAGTTTAAACTGTGACAGTGAGTGCCACAAGTAATTCATAGTATGCAAACAAATTTTGCTAACAAAGCTCTATACACTCGAAAATCCTAGTTCCTTAAGTACAGATGAATTTCAGAAGAAAATGATGAAAGACAATCTCAGAAGCATCTGTGCATGTTTAGCACAAAGTTGGCATGCTGTGCCAGACCTTCGAAGTGAGAAGAATGAGTTTAACAAATTGGCTATCACAGTAAATGAATGAGCATCAGATGAAGAAAGCTTGAAGTATGCCGCTAATACGACACATTCTTTTGATTGTTTTTGATTGAAAATCCTCTTCTCGGACGAATTTCATGCCCATAATAAGAGGGCAATGATCGGCTCCCTAGATCCATACCAAAACCTGACACTCGAAGAAGACAATGGCAGTGATTATAGATGAATCTTATAGCAAAAAACTGTAACAGAGTCACCGAAATCTAAGCACCATCTAACTCCACAATTGTGCACGACAACGCCAGACCGCACATTTGCAAAAATCTGCCAAGTTAAATATCGAAGATCTCCCTTTTAATCACTATATTTCGCGGAGGGTTTGGAAAACCAGTAAAAGAAGCTCGAATTTTTAGACAAATGGACGTTTTTTATCACACTGCCAAAATTAATTCAATGTAATGGTGCTGCTCCTCGTTAAAAATATTGGCCTTCAAAAAAATTACAACCTTTCAAAATAAACGACGCAAAAATTCTCTAATTCTTCGAATGACCAAATAAATGTCGTCAATACTTAAACATATAAAAGAAAAAGGTTAATTATTAAGTTAAAGTAATTTTTTTTAACTTATAAAAAAATTTAAAAATTTTCCTCCTTTAATTTTTGATACATTACTTTACTCCAAAAATACCTTAATGCAAATAAGAATTTCTTCCTTTTCCACAGACTTCAAACATTCACAATTTCTGGTCCACTCTCTAACGATTACTATGAAAATTTCGCTTCCCTAACTTTTTATGCATCAAACTTCGTTTCCTTTCAAAAAATACCGCAGTGCATGTAAAAATTTATTAAAATTTTATAGGAAATTCTTTTGCCAATGAATAATAATGAAAATAGAAAGCACTACTTGGACTTTTCTTTTAATGATACATCTACTACTTCAAAAGGGCCAGAAATCAATTTTTTTCAACTTCTCAATCTATTCTCATACTTATAGTCCCATGTTTAAACTGTGGAGATGAGAAGCAGAGAATATTAAGGAAAGTATATAAAATACTGAAATGACCCGAGAACTATCGGAAAAATCTTAATCCCCACAAGAAACGAATCAAACTTAAATTTCATGGCAGTCTAAGCATTCCCAGTTTCAAAAAGGTTACCATAATGTTTACTTTGAAATTAACATGACAGTTGGAAATATGGCATTCTCATGAATTTATAAGTATAAAAGATATCCTTTTGCTCTTTTTTTTTCCACATTTTTTCCATATTGAAAAGGACTTTAAAGGGATCTCCATCATTACAATAAGTTTCTTTATTATTATTAGTAATATAAATAAATTTTTGAACTATTTTAACAATTAAAACAATACATAAGTTGGAAGATGAGGTGGATATCGCTCAGTCTCATTTCGATAAAGATGACTTGTTGGTCGCTGAAAAACACCCGTTTGTGGTTCGATCATCGGATAACGTGATTTTCTCTCCTTTTCATTACGACCATTCCATTTTGAGCAATTTATTATCGCTTCAATATAACGTGCTTCATCAATCATCTGCAACAGATCTGCAACTACAAAATTATTTAATTATTATAAGCGATATAACGCTTGTATAGTACATCTTATAAACTTTATACCAACTAACGGCATTACGGATCTGTTACCGCTTAACTTCATGCAAAAGAACACCGTATGATCTATTAAAAAGCTCAAACTCTTTTCTCATAAAAGCATTAGTAACACTTCAATAAAGAATCGATTCGATGATCGCTATCTTATAAAAATTCATTAACTGATTCATGAAAGAAAACTATAAAAGAGAATAAGTGATTTTCATTTGATAGATCAAATGATAAAAAGTAATTCTGATAAATAAAATATCATATTAGGTGATCTTTCAAACCTATTTAACCTGGAAATTCAACAATTAAGCAAAAAGTGATTAGCGCTGATCATGTGGTAGCGTTCTGGTTGTCATCATGGTTGGAATTTTGCCTTCGGGAAATCCCTTGGCGATAAAAATAAAGGTTGGTCACCAGCACTACTCGGATTTTTTAATAATTTATAAATAATCATTTTTAATAATCATTTTTACTGCTATCAAGAACAAGGAATCAAAGTGACCATATCACTTGACCAATGCTGTCCTTTCATTTATCACTTATCCCAATGATTCTTATAAAGTTATATTGGTCAAGCGAGAACCGCATTAGATGATTTATGAACAAAAATAGAGCGTGGCGATAAAAAAAATACCTTATAGCATAACCAAATTTTAGTTCATCTAATTACCAATTGAGAAAATTTGATATAATTAGAAAAATTGGAAAAATTTAATTTAAAATAAATATAATAAATAGAAAAAATATGAAATAAAAAATTTAAAATTAAAAAGAAAATGAAATTTAAAACGAGTCAATAATAAATCAATATGTTTAATCGATAAAGGCACCAAAAAGACTTAAATTCCGCAAAAAACTAGAAATAAAAAATTCGATTAAGCAGTATAATCCAATCTGTTGACTCGAAATACCACCCGCATTTGACCCGAATCACAATTTCCCTCATCTCAAAACTCACTGGACTTCCATCACTGGAAAAATGGAAAAAAATTCTAATACTCGGCTTTCCAACCGGAAAACAAGCTCATCCTTTACAAATTTAAATGACCAAATGAATCAAAAAAAATCTCATAAATCTGGTCAGAATTTATTTTATAAAATATGTTTAAGTTTAAATTTCGATTTTGCGAACTTTTCGGTTATATGGACTTCCCTTATCAGCAATTATACTGGCGAGGAAACAATAATAATATGAATAAAAAGGAAGGAATAAAGGAAGACTATAAAATGACAAGGAAAACTGAAAGGAAGGAATAAAGGAAGAGTATAAAATGACAAGGAAAATTACAGCAAACTTTTGGCACGGAAATAGTGTAGCGATAGACTGGTATAAAAAAGAAAAAAGAAAGCAGAAAAAAAAGTAGAAAGCAAAGAATACGATCGTTTGCCCATGTTGTCCACGTAACCGAAAAGAAACTCTATTTGTAAGTAGTTAAATTGACGGTTGACGGTGAAGAAAAATTAACTGCGAATAAATGAACATATTAGAATAGAATAGAAAATTATATTAACAAATAAAGGACGATAAAATGATTTCGGTGTCGGATGGACCACAGACCCTGCTACTGGCCAACGTTTTCCTCCCTGCGCTCCACTCTTTCCCTTTCACCACCTTCCCCTTTGCTGCAAGGACCACAGCTAAGAACCACAACCCATATCGAAAAAAAGCAAATCATATACGAATTAGCATCCGCAGAAAAAATTTCTAACTTGCAGCGCGGACGTTCCATCCTTTCATATGAATTTCTCCAGCAGTTCATTTGTTCTCTTGTAGTTCGAACAAGAATTAATTATTTTTTCTATAATTTTGTTGTTAATGCAGTGGAATAATTTTTGAAGTCGTGGAATCTGTGTCGATTTTTATAAAAAATTTTATAAAAATATTTCGAATTTGATTTCGGCCAGAAATTTTTTTACTCGTCAAAAGTAAACTACTTTTATTGGGTTAAAGGTCAAAGGTGGGGCAAATGTCGCGATAAGAAATGCTGAAATATGTTTTGCAGGTCGCACAAGTATGTTGATGAGCGTGGCTCGTGCACTGCGACTATCCCACGACAAACAAGAAACATTTATTAAATTTTTTATTCTTTCATTTGCAGCTGTTGTTGCATTTTCTTCGTTAGTTTTGATTTTCTGAAATCCGATTTCCGTTTTGTGAAAATTTCGATCGGAAATTGCAGAAAATAGTCGAAATAACCTCTTAAAAAATCACGTGTCGAATTTGGCCTTTGGCCTTCGTGCCAGGAAAAGCGAAATTCCTTTCGGAGATCCCTTTTTTGTTGCTTCGGCTTTATTATGATGCAGGGAAGTCGTAAGGGAGACATCTTAAAGATATGATAAGATTTCTTGCATGTTTGCTCTGTGCATGTTTGCTTGGGTCTCTCAGCCGGCATTAGTGCTTTTAGAAATTCTCGTACGGAAGTCTAATAGAAATATAGATGGATCGCCAGCCCTGCACGGATTTTTTAATACTGGGTGTTTTCCTGTCAGGGACACGTTATCCAGCTTCGGGTGCTCGGTGGCAGCCGTGCCACAAGGCCTTCTTCTAACAGCTCTCATCATTACTGGTTAGGCTGGCTGCACTGGCTACAAAGGTAAAACATCTCCAAGATGTTCGATCCGACACCTTCGCCGACTGTAATAGAAACCATTCCTTTTTCCATCGTCTAAGTCCATATATCCCCTATATATCCAAAATCTTTCCTGTCTGTATTAGTCAGGTCTTTATTGGCCCTCTTTGCTTTTGTCGCCAACCATCACAGGGTTTAGTAAGTAACGAAATATGCGTCAACTCCTGTGGTGGAGAACGAGTCCTAACCAGCGAAGGCGACGCTCTTCAAACATTATTAATGATGCCACAAGGCCATCCTTAGTAAAAACGATTGAACAATTTAAAGGGAATTTTTTGAATAATAAATATTTTTTATAATATTTTATAATATAATATTTAATATAATATTTTCTTATTTTTCAAATTATATTTCTTATTTTGCAGACGATTGTTTGCAGTTATACGATTTGAATCAGTTATCCACGAAGTATGTTTCCTCAATTTTTATTAAAATTGTTTTTGAGGCTTATCGTATAACTATAACTATAACTTTACTTGGTTCTGTGCACTCTTACTCGTATAATTAACCATCCACCTAATATAGTGGTCAGTGACATTATAATCATTATGGAGTCTTTACTTCATGCTTTCATGGTTTGGACGGTTATTCAGAATAATACTTTGTTATCAAAAAACACCATTTGCTATACAAATATTCTTTGTTCTTAAGTTAACCTATATTATTGTTGCTTAATTTGCATGTGATCACAATAGATTTAAACTTAAAGTAAATTTAAAGAATTTAAAAGGTAAATTAATATTAATATTTAGATGGGTTTTACTTTTGATACTGAAATTTGAGAGTTATTTCAGTTCGATCCCTATTTTAATTATCGGACAACTCGATTTCTTGCGGAAAATGGATATTATAATTTCCATAATTGGTTTGATGACCAAGCATGGTATCCACTTGGCCGTATAATTGGTGGCACCATTTATCCAGGTCTTTTTATTATCTTGTTTATCTTTATTATCTTTTCATTACTTATCTAAAAAAAAATATTTTATTTAAGAAATTATAGCAAATTATTCAAGTTTTAAGTAAAAACTGAAATTTTAAGGTTTTTTTCAAGGTTTAGAAGAAAATAGAAAAGGAATTTTCATTTTGAGAAAAAATTTGAAATTTTTCGAAAATGACAAAATGAATTCTGAAATTATTAAAAAATTATTAAAATTACCTTATTTGTGTTTGTATATTTTAGGTTTGATGATAACTAGTGCATTATTATATCATTTTCTACATTTTCTTCATTTTACCTTGCATATTCGAGAAGTTTGCGTTTTCCTTGCACCACTTTTTAGTTCATTCACAGTTATCGTTACTTACCTTCTTACTAGAGAGATTAAGGTTATTATTTATTTATTATTTATTGCTATTATTATTTATTGCTATTACATTACTGTTATATTTTAATTGAATTACACTTTTTTATCTTATAAATTCGACAAAGTTTAGTAGGAAAAACTTTATTAATAATAAAGTTATTTATTATAATAATTTATTATTTTTAATGTAGAATGATGGAGCCGGCCTTATCGCAGCATCATTGATAGCTGTTGTGCCTGGATATATATCACGTTCTGTCGCAGGTTCATATGATAACGAAGGCATTGCTATTTTTTGCATGATATTTACATACTTCCTTTGGATCAAGGTTAAATTTTTATTATTTTAGTCTTCATATTTTAATTTTTTCATGTGATGTTTTCTTTAGTTTAGCGATTGTTTTAGATCGTTTAGCGATTTGCCATTTTTCCTTTTTTTTAGCAATTATCCATTTGAATAGTAGTTATCCATTATCCATTTTAATAAGAATAGCTAAATCAGCAGTTTTTCTATTCTTCTATTTAATATTGTTTTAATGTCGAAAAGGCGATGAATTGAATGATATTTTCAAAATTTGTGAGAGTCACTTCCTGAAATTTCCTCATTTGTTGAGTATTTCACCTCTGCGACTTCTATTTCTTTGAATTTTTCTATAAAGAAAAATGCATATATCTTTTGTTTCAAGTAAAATAAATTTTTCTTGAAATGCTTTAAAATGTTGGTTGCAATATTTCAGGCTGTCAAAACTGGGGAAATACTATGGTCCGTTTTAAGTGCATTGGCATATTTCTATATGGTTTCTTCGTGGGGTGGATATGTATTTTTAATAAATTTGATTCCTCTTCATGTTCTAGCTCTTATCTGTGTTGGAAGATTTTCACACAAAATATACATTGCTTACTCAACTGTAGGTTTAATATTTTGTTGAATTTTCTTAATAATTTATTATAATAACGTGGGTCATTAATATATTTACTATTTGATTAAATCTATGACGTATTTACTATAATTATACACTTCAGGTCTATATAATTGGCACAATTCTCTCAATGCAGATTCCTTTCGTTGGTTTTCAACCAGTGCAAACTTCCGAGCATATGGCAGTATGTTCAAAAATTTTTATTTTCACCAATTAATCATTTAACGAAATTATGGAATTGAATTATTATTATGGTTGAATTATAATATAAATAAAAACTTTTCTCTCACCTATGAGGAGCCATTCTCAATCTTGAGTCCTCAATTAGGTCTGGAAGAATGAGGGTACTGCGCAGTATCTTTGCTGTTTCTAATAATGTGCTGTTCTGGATAGAGATCACTGATTGTCCCTGGAATCTGTTGAAGAAATTTTTTTAGTTTAGGGATCATAATTCCAAATTCTCCATTTATTACTGAGTTTACTTTGGCCTTTCCACATCTTCTCTAGTTCCTTTTTCACCCTTTGGTGTTTCTCTAACTTTTATTTTTCCTTTTTTCTGATTTTCCTGGTATAGCCATATCAATCGCCATTGCTGATTTCTAATTCTTGTCTATTACCAAGACGTCTGGTTGATTGGACAGTACTTCTTTGTCTATTTGGATGAGGGGGTCCCACAGGATCTTCATCTTATTATTCTCTACGATTTTCTGAGGAATCTCCCATTTAATCTTGAAAGAGTCTAAGCCATATATCGCGCAGATGTTCCTACAGATGGTGCTAGCTAATTGGTTTTACCTTCCAATATATGTTGTTCCTGCCTGGATCTTACCAATGTGTCTTGGGCTGTTTCTGGGGAGTTTTCGCACAGTTTATATCTAGAGTCTCTTGGTAATGTGTAATGCGGTAGATCGTTGTTTCGATGGGTCTGTTGCTTACTGCTTGTTCCTGTGTTGCTAATCTATGCCTCAGTATTGCCTTTTATTTCAGTTTTCTACAACCACTAGGATTTTATAACGTTAGCTACCTCAGCTATCTGTCAGTGGTGCAACCATAGAGGGTCTTGCTTCGCCATGGTACTTCTGCTTGATCGTTTTCCAATTTCTATACATGCTTCAGACATTTTCTCAGTTGTTCATGCTTTGGTGCCATCTTGCTATATTTCTGAATACTTCGAGTTTCGTTCAAGATAGTGGTCTTTATACTCCCTCTTATCTTCATTTGGTGTACAGCCTTTGAGTATTGGAATTAGAATGTAAATTCCCGTATATTGTGAGCAATTCCCCTGTCTTTTCATGAGCAGCCTTAATGTGATCTCATCTCCACCGTTCAAACGATAAGTATGAGAATAGGGGAGACTATGCATTGCCTTGGTATATGCCTCACTTGATAGTTACTTCTGCAACCTGTTTCGAGTTGATTTCAAGTGTCGTTTTCCATGTTCCCATTTAGATCTTGTCTTTAGGGTCTTGTTGACTTTTCATAGAGCGAGGCATTCACAGATCCATATGTGGAGGTTTTGAATGGTAGGCTTTCCTTTCTCAGTTCAAGTTTTGTACAAATTGGTCTGCTTTTTGTACAAATACAGTTATACAGTTTTGTACAAATTGGTCTGTCTGGGATTTTGAGTCTAGAGTTACTGCCTTATTAGCAGCTAGTGTTTGAGGCTTCTGGTGTTGTTACCAATGCCTTTTTGAACTATACTTATGTACTGGCTTATATGTTTGGAGCTTCATAAAGATTAATGGCTATGATGTCTAACAGAATTTTCCACATTGTGGATTATTGGTATAGGCAGATTATTGATCTGTAGTTGGATGGTCTTATTCTCTTATGAGGGCCCATATGAGGTCTTTTAAGATCGAATAGATTCTTTCCTTGTGTTAACCAATCTGGGTGAGAGCCATCCACATGCATCTGGTTCATCTATGTCGTTAGGCGTTAATATATATATATATATATATATGTATATATTCGTATTTTCATACTTGAGTAAAGGCAGTAAATTTAAAAATTGTTTGCAGGCGTTTGGAATATTTGGTTTATGTCAACTAGTTGCATTTTCCAATTATTTGAAAAGTAAGATGACAGAGGAAAATTTTCAATTACTTTTCCGTTCCACTCTTCTTGTTTCTGCCATTTGTGCTGCACTTATATTCGCATTGGCCAGTCTTTTGGGCAGTAAGTCTTTTTTCAAACATTTCTTATACAGTAAAGATTACAACACATTTAATTTATTTAAATAAGAAGGTGAGAAGCCTTTAAACAAGAAAAGTTTAGAAGAGTGAAGAAAGCGCTATTTTCTGAAAAAAAAGAGTCGTATTATAAATTAGACAGTATAAAATATTGCAAAGATGACGGGAGGAAAATAAATTTTGTTTAAGAAATTAATATTTTACGAACGTAATAACAAATGCATTTATTTGAGTGCAATTAGAGAAATTTATTTCTAGAAATTGCGCCTTGGACCGGTCGGTTCTATTCATTACTTGATCCTTCTTATGCGAAAAATAATATACCAATTATTGCATCTGTCTCAGAACATCAACCGACTGCATGGAGTTCATTTTATATGGATTTACAATTTCTTGTTTTCTTTTTTCCCGGTTTATCTTTTGCATATCCTTTATGTAATTTCATAATTCAAGGCTAGGCTGTATCGATTTTTCTAAAGATTTCCACTTCTTTGGAAAAAAATTTATTGAAATAAAGAAATCGATGGGTTTTGACAATATTTGCCATCTTTATAATTTTTATAATTTTATAATTTTTATGAGATTTTTACTACTGTATTAGAAAATCATTATCGATAAATAAAAAGTTAGCTTTCCATTAAAATAAAATTTATGGACTAAATGATCCAATTGCAGTTGGTCTGTATTACTGTTTTAAAAAACTGACCGATCAAAATATCTTCGCCATCCTTTATGCCTTAACTAGTATATATTTTGCGGTATGTTTTATGTTTTTTATTTTTTGTCATATTTTAACAGGCTGAAAGTTTTGCTTTGATTTTCTTATAAAAAATTAATTTTAATTTTCATAAATTTAAGGGTGTAATGGTTCGTTTGATGCTTGTACTTGCACCAATAATGTGTATTCTGGCTGGTATTGGGGTTAATTCGATTCTAATAAGTTTTATGAAAAATTTAGATTCTGTTACTGGTCACAATGCTAAACATGAGAAAAAAGAAAAAGATCGAAATTATCCATATAAAAATGAGGTACTTATTTTATACAATTTGAAAATTTTTGTTATACCAAGTATTTCTCAGAACAGTGGTTTTGCATTATTTTTTTCGATTTGAAAAAGAAAATATTTCAAAATTCCTTAATTTTCATATCATATCAAGAATGTCTGTTATCTTGAAAAATGTATTTTTTCTAAGAAATTAAGTTAATGTTAATATTTTCATAGTTGGGAAATTCTTGATCATAATCAATCCAGCCAAAATAATTTTTTATAATATTTTATAATAATAATAAAATAATTTTTTAGGTTGCTCAAGCAGTAATAGGTATTATAGCTTTTTTCATGCTCACCTATACGTATCATTGCACATGGGTAACATCGGAAGCTTATAGTAGCCCTTCCATAGTTTTATCTGCCCATTCTAACGACGGCTCTGATATTATTTTCGATGATTTTCGTGAAGCGTATTATTGGCTACGAATGAATACTCCTCCGGTAATCTTTTTTTATGAGAATTTTATTAACTTTTATAAGAATCGATTTTTAACATAAAAAGTGGCTGCTGTTTGATTCATTTGACTTTATCTTTTTTTAATTATACTAATTAGTTATCTTTAGTTAATTAATCAGTTAATATAATGCGCCATTTCAACGATTCCACTTCCAAAAGCTTCATTAAATACAATTAAAATAAATTTAATTTCTGGCTAATACTAGGATGCGAAAGTAATGTCATGGTGGGATTATGGTTACCAGATAACAGCTATGGCAAATCGCACTGTTATCGTTGATAATAATACTTGGAACAATACTCATATTTCTCGAGTAGGACAGGTAATTTCTCTGTTCATTTAAATTTTAGAAAAATTAAGTTTTTATTTTTTTATATTAAAAATATTAAAAATATTTTATTTCTACATGCTAATTAAGTATATGTTTCTGGTCTACCTCAAATAAAAAAAAATTTTTTAATTTTTAGGCAATGTCATCAAGTGAAGAAGTAGCTTATGAAATAATGCAAGAATTGGACGTAGATTATGTATTGGTTATATTTGGTGGAGTTATTGGCTATTCTTCTGACGGTGGGTAGCAGTACAAATGAAAATAGTTGCAAAAATCATGTTTATGATTGAAAAGATTCATTCTTGTTCCAATAGTCTTTTATATTTTGGTCATATTTGGTTTTGCAGATATTAATAAATTCCTATGGATGGTGCGAATAGGCGGTTCAACACCTGAAGGGCAACATATCAAAGAAACTGATTATTTTACGAAACTTGGAGAATATAAGGTCGATAAAGAAGCATCTGAAACAATGATCAATTCCTTCATGTATAAGTTGTGCTATTATCGCTTTGGCGGATTGTATACCCAACAGGTAAAATGGTATTCATCATTAAAAAATCAGATCATAATTCAATTTTTTTTGCAGATTGGGTGGGACATTACATGAAAAATAAAAAATAGCGAAAAAAATAATGAATTTTTAGGGACGACCAACGGGTTATGATCGGGTCCGGCAGTCCGAAATCGGAAAGAAAGATTTTGAACTTGAATATGTCGAAGAAGCGTTTACTAGTGAACACTGGATTGTCCGTATATACAAGGTATTAAGGCTTTTACAATTAGTGAAATTCTAAAAGTTATAGGAAATTCTAAGAGTAAAAATCTTAAAAAATAAATTCTAAAAAATCTATATTTTCAGCACTCTTTGGGCCAGATTAAAAGTGGCGAGGTGGGAAATTTTCCCCGTGGTTTTTTAATTTATTGTATATTTTAGCTACCTAATTTATTTTATTTCAATTAATTTATTATTAAATTCAAATAAGTCTTGTCAGTCTTGGTTGCAAGAGTTCTGCACCAGATAGTATATTGCGCACTAAAATTGGCAGCACTGACGGATGTTATGGTTCCGACATGACCCGCCTGAAGCTGACAATAGTATTTAAAAGAAAATAAAAATTATTGAAAACGCCTGCATTATCTGTTTTGCATAATTTTTAACGCAATTTAGAATGAGATCTATAAAATTTAATAGGAAATTTAACAGGAAATTAAAAATAATAGGAAATATATGTGTGAAAATATATCTATCTTATATATATAAATATATTTTTCATAGTGGCAATTATTTTATATTTTTATCTATTCTCATTTATTTTCAGGTCAAACCAAAAAGTAATAGAGGATATTTTGGAGTGACAAATTTTTAATTCAGTCTCTTCGTTGGATATTATTTATGTTTTAATGTTATTGGTTTGGATGACATTGTTATTTGTTGTCATTTTTATCATTTCTCTTCCTGGTTATTTAACTATTTCATTATTTTAACAATGTTTAAATTGTTTGTATCATTTTAATTTGAAAATATATTATATTATAAAATTTAAAAAAGACTAATAGCGAGGAATAATCATGCTATTAATATAATACATTTATCCTTCGTTTAATTTATAGGCTAATTTTATTATTTATTAATGTTTAAATTATCATAAATTAAGCCAAGAAATAGTTGTGATTTGGATGCGCTGAATTAATCAAATTTCTTAAAAAAATAATAGGAAATCGAAAACTGATTTGTGACAATGAAAAGGACGATTAAGGAGTTGTTAGAAATGAATTTTAGAATGGAGAAAGAATGAAGTGCCACTATGAAGAAAATGAGGAAAAAGTGTGAAAAAGTGAAATGTATCGGAAAATACTTACATTTAATTCCCTTAACATTGTGTCTCTGTGTTCTTGATAAAGTTTGCTTTCATGCTATTAAGGTTCGGCTGAGTGAGGTTTTATCTGCTAGATTGGCCAAGAAATAGTAGTTATATGGAAAGATCTGCAATTAATAACTGATAACAAATGAATTAATAAATGAACAAATAGGAAAATAGATGGCAATGTAAATCAAATTGTTAAAATGATAAGCAGCTTAGTCGAATGGTATGACTGATCGACCAATGATGTCGTCGATTTGAACGGAGAGAACAAATAACACATCTGAAGTCAAAAATTTTAACACCTGCTGATTTAAACTGGAATGAGAATAATTAATCTCATCAGGCAATTTGTCTAGGCCTGGATTGTGGCTCGTAACCAAAGTTATAACCAAAGTTACTTATAACCAAAGTTTCTTTTTTTTAAGAGTCCTCACCATTACATTGAGCAATATGACAAGGAGTCCCTTGGCGACAGAAATACAGGTGAGTCGTCAGAATCGGATTTTTTCACAGGCTTTTTCACTCCTGTAGAAAATCGAACCTCAGCATCGGCGCTCCCAACCGAGCAACAGCTCTCAGCCATTCTATCCCCCAAAGTTAGAATTAATTGAATAAAGTCGTTTCCATAGATAAAGAATTTAGATGAAATTTGGCACAAACATGCAAAATATATTCATTATTCGCCTATTGGCCTACTGAATGAATTTCGTTCCAAAATTATGAAAAAGTGTAAAATGAAACATCGCTGGAGAATCATCGTAGGAATTCGACTATACTAAAATGGAACATTTCATAGAAGTTAGTGACAACTTTCATGAATAAATTTAAATTTCTATATTTTAATGACTGTAAATAATGCATAAATTTTGCCAAAATCACCGTTCTTTCGAAGTTTGTTTGTGAAATTACTGAATTTAATTTGATTTCTGCCACTCCAATATGTTCGTCAAATTTATTATTAAAAAATTTGGTTTATCTTATGAAAAATTCGAAACGACCCTCAGAATGGTTATACTCTTTCTTACAGCAGCTGTCGCATTTTCAAGGTACATTTATTCCCATTTGGGACCCTCAAGGTGACATGGAAATTTTTATGTGTGAGGCGCGAAATTCATTTAAAAGGAACGACATTTAAGGATCACTTTTTCCAGTATCACTTCCCATTGCTGGTTACTTCATTGATTAATAGGATGAGACATGAGAGAGTTTTTTGCTGATAGAGGTATAGAGGTATCTACAGTTTCACTTGTATTTCATACCAGGCTTATTCCTTTAAAAAGCAATGTTGCTATGAGGGGGTTAGTGGAATAATATACTTCCCAATGGACCATTTTAAACGTTTTTATAAATATTATAAATGTATATTTTCATATTATTAATATAACATTTATGTATACTATATAAAGTCAATAAAAAATACTTTGTTCGATCCATATGCAGAAATTTGCAAAGAGCACTTAATGAGGTATTTCAGTGCAAATTAATTCCACTTTCCTAATTGGTACCAGTTTTTTTCCTTACCACGTTTTAGTGGCAGACTGTGTTTTAAGTTAATTCGATGTAAAAAAAGGTGAATAATTTCTCGTCGTGTTTAAACGCTGATTCATGAATAATCCTGATTAATTAGCAATTATCAGATTGTATAGTTGAGAAAAATTTTTTGAGGTCATGATCGATATGAAATTTAATTATTTCCAGTTATTTTCAACACATTTAGAGGATCAATGATTAAACATGCAAGCCATTCAAATTTTAGCTTTTATTTTGTAGGCGAAACTTCAGATATATTAAGAAAAAAGGGTCGGTCTCCTTTTTGGTCTCATGTTAGAAAAAGGCATCGGTTCCGATTCTCTGTATTTCATGCGTAGAATATTTCTTAGTTATAACCATAAATACCTTAATGAAAAAGGATTTCGCGCTATATTACCCCTTCAGCAATCTAACGAAGCCAGTAGCAGTCCTCCGAGAACAATGCTTTTACTCGTTGATGCACGACGCTGTGACTATGATTTTGACGGCTAAATCACAAATACTTCTAATTGCTTAATAGTTTACACCCAATAAATGCGAATTTTTTCCCGTTCACGAATCTCTGAAGAGTGAGTCAAATCAAAGACCTCTGATTTACGAGCATATTTACGAGCAAATTTTAAGCGCAGCATAATTATCAGCCAAAACTTGATAAATTGATAAAAACAGAATATTTCCGCTTAAAAAATTCTTCCCATCAAGCACACTTATACAGTACAATAAGTACACTTTGTATTTTATAAAATACATTCAAATAGTATTTAATAAAAAAAAATTTTTTTCAGTCGAATAACTTCTGTCATTCTTTATGAATCGATCATTCATGAGGTAAATTACCATTTGAAAGTTTTTCATTAACCAATATTCGAAGTTAGATTTGCAGAAATTGTTGAACCATTTAGAACCATTAGAAACAACGACAGTGAGTTTAATCCCATTATATTTGAACGTGGTGATTTTGTTTGTATTGAAACAATATTCCCATCCGAACCTATTTAATTTCAGTACGATCCATATTTCAATTATCGTGCAACTCTTCACCTACTTGACAAAGGTCACTACCAGTTCCTCAACTGGTTCGACAGTAATTCTTGGTATCCATTAGGACGAAATATCGGCTCCACTGTTTATCCCGGTTCAATTTTTGCAAATAAATTATTCTTAAGTCTTATTCGCTTGTTCAGAATTAATAACGGTACTTGGATTGTTTTGCAAATGAAAATATCAGTTGAAGCGCTAATACTTCATGAAACAACAATTCTTTTTACAGGTTTAATGGTCGTTGCAGCATTTCTTCATAAATTCTTAAATTGGTTGCACATCACCGTTCATATTCGCGAAATTTGTGTATTTATTGGACCAATATTCAGTGTTTTCACAATCGGTGTCATGTATTTATTCGGGAAAAAAATAGATGTTCGTTCAATTTTCTGAATTTTGCAAACTTTATGAATCTAGCAAATTCTCAAGATATCTCCTTATTTCCATTTTTGTTATTATGCAATACAATTTTAACTTATTTATTCAGTAGTTTGATGAAGTATTTTATTTGCAGAATGACTGTACTGGTTTAATGTCAGCTGCGTTGATGGCTGTCGTACCGGGATCGACTTTCCGTTCTGTCGCAGGGTCGTTCGACAATGAAAGCACTGCCATATTTCTTATGGTTTTCACCTTCTACTGCTGGATTCAGGTCAGAAATTTAGATGGGTATTTAATAACTTTTAGCAAAATTGCATAGCTATATATTATATTCGTCGATAAAATTGCTTATATTCTCTAAATTTTATCGATAAACGGGAAATCCATGGGTTACCATTCCTAAAATTGTGTTAATTTGATATAAAATTCTAATTCGTGATAAAATTTCATTATCAAAGAAGATATGGCTCTGAAAAGAATTCGAAGCTTTTAGTTTCACCGTTTCAGGCTCTCGATTCTGGCAATATTTTCTGGTCCATGATTTGTGCTCTTGTCTATTTTGGAATGAGCTATACGTGGGGAGGTTATGTATATGTGCTGAACTTGATTGCTTTGCACAGTTTTTTTCTAATCCTAGCTGGGCGATTCTCATCAAAAACATATGTGGCCTATTCAATCGTTAATATTTTGGCAAATTTTTAAATAAAATTTGAGGTTTTTGTGGGATAAATTTAAATTTTATTTTAACGTATTGTCAAAAAACACTGAAAGGAACCTAAAACAAATGTGCCATATATCTCATTCGATCATTCTTTCTAGTTTTATGCAGTTGGTACCATCCTTTCAATGCAAGTGCCATTTATCAATTTTCAAGCAGTAACTTCAACGGAGCACATTTCTGTATTCACTTTTCGTATTTTTTGTAACGAATTACAGCTTATTTCTATGAGTTGCGACTAAATATGATTGAGATTACAGATTACCGATGAGATTAGAGTTGAAATTACAGATCAATGGTGAAATTTATCTGGGAACCTAAAACAAATGTGCCATATATCTCATTCGATCATTCTTTCTAGTTTTATGCAGTTGGTACCATCCTTTCAATGCAAGTGCCATTTATCAATTTTCAAGCAGTAACTTCAACGGAGCACATTTCTGTATTCACTTTTCGTATTTTTTGTAACGAATTACAGCTTATTTCTATGAGTTGCGACTAAATATGATTGAGATTACAGATTACCGATGAGATTAGAGTTGAAATTACAGATCAATGGTGAAATTTATCTGATGAAATTTGAATAAAATTCCATGCCACATTTTTAAGACAATTTCCTGGCACAATAGACAATTTAAATTTGTATAAAAATTTTATGCTTTATATGAGGGACCATTTTTTTTTAAGAGCTCCCATCATTACGGGTTAGATTCTGTTAGCACACTCGACAAATACATCAAAAAGTACCTTAGCGATAGAAGTACAGGTGAGTCACTGGATTTTTGAGCAGGTCCGCTCCTATAAGGAGGAGAACCTCGGCATTGGTGCTTCGAATTGAGCAGCAATCCATTGAGCATTCTACTCCATTATCCACAAGTATGATAAGGAAATTAACAAAATGTTAATTACTGATATTTTAAGGCACTAGGAGTATTCGGTTTGTGTCAGACAATGGGAATAGACCTTTGGCTACGTTCATCCTTACCGGACAATATTTATAACAAATATCGATATGAATGCATTATTAACCTTATCGGCATCGGTGTGTTCACCTTATTTGCTTTGATATCGCTGGAAAGTTAGTTTTTTTCTGGAAGTTTATGCATATATATGTACAATCCTGACACATAAGCTGATCGAACATTCCGTTCATTAAGACTTAAGTAAATTGGCGTTTCTCTAATCCTTTGAAATAATTCAAAGACTTACGGTTCCAATCCTTTTGCATTGGAGATCATGGCTTAAAATTAGAGATTGCATGATCAAAATTTTTCAAAAATTAAAATTTGAAGAAATTTTTAGGGATAGCGCCTTGGTCTGGTCGATTTTATGCTTTTCTCGATCCATCTTATGCTTCGAAGAGCAATCCACTCATTGCTTGCGTCGGTGAGCACCATCCAACCGCTTGGAGCTTTTTTTATTCTAACTTTCAAATGATTCTAATAGCTATACCAGGTAGATTTTTCTAATTTGTATTGTTCCAGCGTTTCAGCGCTGCCATTTTAGCGTTTAGGAAGAAAAGTAAATTATATTATATTCGAAGTAGCCTTTAAGAGTATTCAAAAGGTGAAATTATTTATTTAAGGACTCTAACAAATTTTTTTGTTGATAAACTGCCTATATATTGCGAAAAAAAGCGA